GACGGCCGGGCGGTGGTGGCACACGACCCTAATCCCAGCACTCAGGAGGCAGAGGCAGGCAGATCTCTGTGAGTTCAAGGCCAGCCTGGTCTACAGTGCGAGTTCCAGGAAAGGCACAAAGCTACACAGAGAAACACTGTCTCGAAAAACCAAAAAAAAAAGGGCAACAAATGCATGGGTCCACATTTGGTTTTCATCAGGCCTTTGTTTGGTTTCAGAACTAGGTCACTTTTTACACGGGCATGTGATGTAGTTTGGTCCTGTCCTCTCCATCATTTCATAGCACCCTCTCCTTTCCACTTCTGCAAACCCCACCATCCCCTTTCACATTCATCTCCATTTTTTAAAAAACAAACACATAGTTGTAATGATATAATTATAATCTTTTATACAATTGTTTATGAAAGCACCATTAATTTTTTGTTTGTTTGTTTGCAGTGCTGGGGAGAGAAGTCACAGCCTTGGTCTGCTAGGCAAGGGCTCTACCACTGAGCTACACTCTATGTTCCCTGCCCTAAACCCCATTCATCTGCCTGTAGGTCTTGTTTCTAGCCATCTAGTTACATTGGCTTATTAGTTCAAGAAATTGTTTGAATCTCATACATAAAAACACATTGTTTATGATTTGTAGCATTTTTTTTCTTCCAATATTAGCTTTTCTTGCCTTATTGAAGTGGTCACCATCACATGACACCCTCCTCTGTGTGCCTGTCTGTGCCCTTAGTGCTTCTTAGTTCAAGTAAATTGTTTGAATCTCATACATAAAAACACATTGTTTATGATTTGTAGCATTTTTTTCTCCCAATATTAGCTTTTCTTGCCTTATTGAAGTGGTCACCGTCACATGACACCCTCCTTGGTGTGCCTGTCTGTGCCCTTAGGTTCCTTCTGAGTGGTAGATCCCACTCAGTATTTGACAGGAATGTCTCTTGTAAAAATCTAGTCTGATCAAGATCCTCCACGGAGGACCAGGCTGTTGAGCTTCAATAGGTGACTTCAAGAATGACTTGTCATTCGTCTTAGTTGGGGTTTCTATTGCTTAGACAAAATACCATGATCAAAAGGCAAGTTGTGGAGGACAGGGTTTATTTGCCTTACATTTGCAGATCATAGTCCATCATTGGAGGAAGTCCAGACAGGAACTCAAACAGGGCAGGATCCTGGAGGCAGGAGCTGATGCAGAGGCCATGGAAGGGAGCTGATTACTAGCTTCTTCCCCATGGCTTGCTCAGCCTGTATTCTTATAGAAACCAGGACCACCAGCCCAGGGATGGCACCACATTCTATTGGCAGGCCCCTCCCTCATTGATTACTAATTGAGAAAATGCCTTACAGATGGACATCATGGAGGCATTTCCGCAAATGAGGCTCTTCCTCTCTGATGATTCTACCTTGTGTCACATTGACACAAAACCAGCCTGTGCATCATCCCTGTCCAGCGTTCAGAGGGGACTTGTTAAACCAGTCTTCCTGGAGTGTCTTGGGATAAAACTTAACAACTGCAACCCCTCTAGGTAAGGCTTCCTCCAGACACGAGGCTTTCTGAGACACCATGTGACAGAGGAGCACTGGTTGCCCATACATCATCCCCTCCATCAAGTGTCCCCAACAACCACCGGTTCCTTCCCATCCCAGTCACTGCACCTGTCCTCCAAGGCTGCCCACCCACATTTAATGGAGAAATAAACTCTAATTGGCTCTGTACCTAGATCACAACAGAGGGGAGGTACAGCCCAGAAAACACTGAGGACAGTACTAAGGGGCAGGCTAAATGGGTTGGGTGTGGGTGAAGAGAATTAGAGGAGGAGGAGGGTGAGGAGGAGGAGGAGGAGGAGGAGGAGGAGGAGGAGGAGGAGGAGAAGGAGGAGGAGGAGGAGGAGGAGGAGGAGGAGGAGGAGGAGGAGGCAGGAGATTGAGTTTGTGCTGTGTACACTGTTTATTTAGGGCTCCAGAACCAGGACCTGATCCACAGGAAGCCAGGAGAATAAAGAATGGTAAATCTGGGTTTAAGGGCAGCTGTCAGATTAGACTTACAAAGAGGGGCAGACAAGGAAGGAAACCTCCAGAGAAGAGGTGAGCATGGAGCCAGGAGTGGAGTCCAGTAGGAGGAATCTGGACTCCTCTGCATGATGCAAACAACTTTGGTGAGTTGTAGTGTGAAAAGTATTGAGCTTCACAACGGAGCAACTAGACAGTCAAGTTACCTACACCAGCTCTGCACCTGAGGTCAGAGGTCAGAGTCTCAGATCTTACACTGGCAGCACACAGGGGCACAGCAGCTGGACTGACAGCAGCAGGGCATGCAGCAGCTGGACTGACAGCAGCAGGGCTTGCAGCAGCTGGACTGACAACAGCAGGGCTTGCAGCAGCTGGACTGACAGCAGCAGGGCTTGCAGCAGCTGGACTGACAGCAGCAGGGCTTGCAACAGCTGGATTGGCAGCAGCAGGGTTCACAGGCCCCACAGGAGCCACAGCCCCCACAGGAACCACAGCCTCCCTTGCAGCCCCCACAGGAGCCACAGCACCCACAGGAACCACTACCTCCCTTGCAGCCCCCACAGGAGCCACAACCTCCCTTGCAGCCTCCACAGCTGGAGCAGGAACAGGCAGGCACACAACTTCACACAGGCTTGCAGCAGCTGCAGCCACAGCCTCCACAGCAGGAGCCACAGCCTCCTGAACAGCCACAGCAGCTCATGGTTCTGGTGTTTGGTTGAGGATGGAGTAGGTTAGAGGAGCAGATAGAGAGGAAGTGTGCAGGTGTGGAGCCTCCTGAGCCTGGGCCCTTTATATCCCTGCCCAGGGTCAAGTGTGAGGTTGCACGTGGTCACTTCCTGGTTCCTCTCTGTGTCATAGTCTAGGACTCTCTTCTGCATGGTGTCACCTATTACCTCTGCTTTCCTTGTGCCTTCCCCAAACAGACGGCCATGTCCCCAAAAGAATGCTGCTCCTCAGTAAACATTAACAAGAGTCCAGGAGGTGTCCCCTTTCTTTGGGGCTGTAGCAAAGCACAGAGAACAGGAATGAATGACTCAGGTACATTGGACTTGCAGGTTTACAGAGCACAGCTTCTGTTTTGTTCTTCCCAAGGCCACTTTTCAACATTTTCTGTAGAGACATGGTTTCTCTACATAGGTATCTCAGGCTGACCTGGAACTACAGCTCTCCCCTCACCTCAGCCCCTCCAGTGCTGGTTTTACAGGTGTGCTCCATATGCCTGGCCCAGCATTAACTTCTAATGCCGTGTTTCTTGCTGAAGCAGAACCAGAGCACTGTGGTCCTGGCCTTTAGAAGTCCAACCTAGGGACTGATTCTTCAAATCTGGGGCCTGGGCTCAGCTCTGATGTCTGCTGGACTCCAGTGTGCTCAAGGCATCATGGGAAGCATGGGAAGCTTTGAGTGTAGACTTGACCGCAGAGCTCAGCTCCACTCCACATAGTATTTCTATCTATAAAAGACACAGTCTAGTCCTTTCAGACTCTTGCCCAGTGGTAGACAGGTGTAGGGAGTATACCAGCTGTCCAATGACACTTTAATGCAATTTTGTGTAAATATGTCTAGACTCCTGCCTGGGGTCTGAGAAGGGGGAAGATGCTCCATGCTGTTCCCCTTGAAGCCACACGGTGGCACTGTGAGCGGCCTGCTGTCCTGCTCCCTCACAGTCTCCAGAGGTTCCTCCAGCTGAAGGGTCCTCTTGCTGCCTTTCCCATTCCACCTTCCTCACTTCCTGTCTTGTTTGAGAAGTAGCAGCTGCATCTGGATGCAGGTGCAAAGATGTCAAAGAAAACTCTGGGCAGCCGAAGCACATCCAGGAGCACCCAGCCCATCCAGGTCCTCATCCAGTCCCTGGAGCCCTGCTTCATTTTCTACTCAGATCCAAGTGCTTGAATAATTTACCAAATTCTGTCACAGATCCTCTAACTATACTTGGCCAGGCTCTCTCTGGGGGCAGAGGGGACCTCACTCCCACAGGCCCTTGTTCTTCAGACTCCATTTATTGTCTTTAGGATTTTAGCTCTAACAGTAAAGGGGCAAATTATAAGCCATCCCCACTGAACCATTAACATGGAACAACACACCAAGAATCTCCTGTTTTGATAGTTGCCATTCCTAAAGGGGTTTTGAGCCCTGTTCTCCAGTGTGCTTACATGATGTAGGCATGCTTCTATCTAAGTGTCCATTAGTTATTGTGAATATACAAATTTGATCTTTTAGGCTTAAAATACTAGTGTATTTTAGCATCTTGCTTTTGGTTGGGGTGTGGGGGCATCTCCTGCAGATTAAACTCCTTCAGAAAGGAGTTTAAAGAGCTCTAAAGACAACAGACTAAATCTGGGCATGGTGGTGCACACCTGAGGCAGGAGAATTGCCACAAGTTCCAAGCATGGCTATAGAGCAAGACCCTGCTGAAAACAACAAAACCTGGCAAAAGTTTAAACATACAGCTACGACTGTTTAAAAAGCAATTTGATAAAACCAGAAACAACTTTTATTAGTGGACTTGAAAACTTGAAGTAAAAGACATATTTCTGGGAAAGGATGAAGTTGCCAAATTCATAGGAAATAATTCTGAAAAGCTGGACAAAACAATAAATCCTTGAAAGGCACTGAAATGATCCTCAGAATTCAGTTCAAACACCCAAGAAGTGCAGCATTTGTGGGATGGGAGTAAGGCTCGATGTTGTCTCTTTACAGCTCAAAGGAAGGGGTCTGAGTATCATCTAGATACTTGTCAGTGTTTACTGGGGAACATTATTTCCTGAGAGAGGTGGCAGTCTGTCGGGAAAAGGCAGAAGGATATAAAGATAAAATAAGTAACACCATACAGAAGAGTGTCCTAGACTATGACACAGACAGGAACCAGGAAGTGACCACGTGCAACCTCACCCGTGACCCTGGGTAGGAATATAAAGGGTGCAGGCTCAGGAGGCTCCACATCTGCACACTTCTTCTCTGTCTGCTCCTCTAACCTACTGCGAACTGAACCAAACACCAGAACCATGAGCTGCTGTGGTTGTTCAGGAGGCTGTGGCTCCAGCTGTGGAGGCTGTGGCTCCAGCTGTGGAGGCTGTGGCTCCAACTGCTGCAAGCCTGTGTGCTGCTGCAAGCCTGTGTGCTGTTGTGTGCCTGCCTGTTCCTGCTCCAGCTGTGGGGGCTGCAAGCCCTGCTGCTCTTCAGGTTGCGGGTCTTCCTGCTGTCAGTCCAGCTGTTGCAAGCCCTGCTGCTGTCAGTCAAGCTGCTGCAAGCCCTGCTGCTGTCAATCCAGCTGCTGCAAGCCCTGCTGCTGTCAGTCCAGCTGCTGTAAGCCCTGCTGCTGTCAGTCAAGCTGCTGTAAGCCCTGCTGCTGTCAATCCAGCTGCTGCAAGCCCTGCTGCTCTTCAGATTGTGGCTCATCTTGTTGCCAGTCCAGCTGCTGCAAGCCCTGCTGCTGTCAATCCAGCTGCTGCAAGCCCTGCTGCTGTCAATCCAGCTGCTGCAAGCCCTGCTGCTGTCAGTCCAGCTGCTGTAAGCCCTGCTGCTGTCAGTCAAGCTGCTGTAAGCCCTGCTGCTGTCAATCCAGCTGCTGCAAGCCCTGCTGCTGCCAGTCCAGCTGCTGCAAGCCTTGCTGCTGTGAGTCAAGCTGCTGCAAGCCCTTCTGCTGTCAGTCCTGCTGCTGCTGCAAGCCCTGCTGCTCTTCAGGCTGTGGGTCTTCCTGCTGTTAGTCCAGCTGATGAAGCCATCATCTGTGTCCCCATGTGCTGCCAGTGCAAGATCTGACGCTCTCAACTTGTCATTGTCTTTCTGAATGAGCTTACCAGCTGCGTCCTTCAGTTTATCACCGGGTCTCAGACTATGATGCATGTTCCCTTAGTACCCCTGCTTCCCACAGGACCAAACCAATATTGGCTTCCAGTTCCCAAGAAGAGGTCATCTTCTCATCAACTGTCTCCTAACAAATTCTGTTCTGGAGTCATACTACCTACAGTGTCCTCACCATAGCTCGCCCACTTAGCCATCTGAGCTCATGAGACCTTTCCTGACATGTCTTTTTATCTTAGCAGGAGCCAACTCTTGGTGTTGCCGCAATAAGGTGAGTATAAAGACTTTCTGGGACTAGTATGAGGAGAAACAGCAACCCCTGCTTTCTCTCAAATTGAATAACACAAAACAATAAAAAATATCACATGGACCAACTGTAACCATGCCTCATTCATTCTGTCACTGGCTCATCACTCCATGGTTTCCACTTTGTCTTGTTTTGTGTGGGATTCCACCAGTCTGATGATGGTGCTGAAGGCAGTTAGGGTCTCTCCTGCCTCCCATCTCCTTCTACCTCTCTCCTCCCTTTCTTGGGACCCTATTCCATTCATGCCTTACTAGATTTGGTAGGAGAGACACCAGACTGCTAGGCCAAAAGATGCTCTGAAGCTGTGACAACTCCTGGCTGGGTCAGACCCACTCCTCTGACAACTCCCTTTGGAAGGCTCTGACTTTCTCAGTGGACATTTAAGTGGCCTGAGGATCTCTGAGAGCACCCACATGCCTAGCCTCACCAAGCCCTTCTCTCTGGATATTTTCATCTGGATTCCAGTAGGTGGCATTCTTTCCTAACATGGAGCTGTCTGTAAAGGAGACCTAAAGATCATGTCCTTCAGCAGAGGAGGACTGTACACCCAGCCTTCCCTCTAAAAGCTCTCCAAAGCCCCTGAGCTAGGAGAAGTGGAGACATTTATTCACGAGCAGCCTGTGTCCTATGTAAAGGAGAGCACCAAAAGTAAAGGTCTGGTCCTGCTGTTCAGGACCTATGTAGGGCAGCAGTGAAAATGTTGTCACTCGAGGACCGCAAACACATGACCAGGTTGATAAAGGGAACTAGGAACTGGGGATCCATGGCTGGAGAGAACAAAGCTCTACTTCTTGAATTAGGCACTTCAGTATGAAACCTAGATGTGTTTTCTGTAATTAATTTAATTGATTATTACTTAGCAATATAGACATGTGCACACACGCACACACACACGCACACACACACACACACACACACTCACTCACACACATTTCAGGAGAAGGTTCTCTCCTGTCTCTTGGATTCTGGGACTCACACTCGGGTTGTCAGGCTTTCACTGAAAACACTTTCACCTGTGGGGACATCTTGACAGTCTTACTTCTTTCTTTAAAATATAGTCTCTAAGCTGGACATGGAGACTCACACCTATAATCCTAGCACTCAGGAGGCTGAGCCAGAAGGGTTCTCACGTGTCATATTTAGCTTCAGCTGTCAACTTGACACCAACGTAGAGTCACTTGGGAAGAAGGAACCTTCCCTGAAGAATTGCCCAATCAGATTGGCCAGTTGGAATGTCTTGGGACATTTTCTTGATTAATGATTGATGTTGAAATGCCCAGGCCACTGTGGACACTGCCCCCCTGGGAAGATGGTCTTGCATTGTATGAAAAAGCAAACAGAACAAGCCATGGGGAGCAACCCAGTAAGCAGTGCCCCTCCATGGTCTCTGCTTCAACTCCTTCTCCAAACTCCTGCTCTGACTTCCCTTCCTTTCCTCCCAAAGTCGCTTCTGGTCATGGTTTTCATCACAGCAGAAGGCCAAATAAGACACACTATTGTGTAACCTCAGAGAGTGCAGGGGGTGCTGCTCTGGATGGCATCATTGGGTCCATCTGGGTTGACCCAGAAACCTCATTACAGGAATTGTGTCCTTAGTTTATTGGCTGGGTGGTGAGTGAGATGGGAGTTTTTAGCCTCTTACCTCTGGGGTGAAGTTGGGAAAACACCCTGCCCCCTTCATGCTGGCTGCTGTAGCAGCAGTTAGTGAAGGATTGGGATACATGAACTTAAGGGAGTATCTCATGTGTAGAAGAAAAGATGTATAAAGTGAATGGAAATTCATAAAATCTACAGAGTCTCCTAAATTAAATTTAAGATTAAATAAACCCAATTTTTACTTTATTTTATTTTAATGTGTGTAACTAAATGGTTTCTACTGTTATGATGAATCACCATAACCAAAGCAACTTGAAGAGGAAGGGATTTATGGGGCTTACACTCCATATCACTGTTTATCACTGAAGGACAGGAACTCAAGCAGGGCAGGAGCTGAGGCAGAGCCTATGCAGGTTGCTGCTTACTAGATTTCTCCCCATGTTTTACTGGGCTTGTTTCTTCTACAACCCGGAACCACCTGCCCAGGGTCGGCACTACCCACAATGGACTGGGCCCTCTCCCAACATCAAAGAAAATGCTATACAGGCTTGCTCACAACCACATCATATGGAGGCATTCTCTTAATTGAGGTTCCCTCCTCTCAGATGACATTAGCTTGTCTTAAGTTGACATAAAACTAGCCAACACAATGTGTGAACACATGTGTGGAGACCAGAGAACAACTTCAGGTCTCACTATCAGGAACTTTGTCCACCTCCTTTGAAGCAGGGTCTCTCAAGAGGCTGAGGCTTACTGACTGACTAGGCTGGCTGGCCAGTGATCCCCAGGGACTCCGCTATCTCTATTTTCCTTGAGCTGAGACTCTACCTGGCATTTCACATGGGTTCTGGGGATGAAATGAGAGTCTTTGTACTTGCAAAGTACATGACAAGTGCTTTACCAAAGGAGCTGTCCTGCCAGTTCTGAAGGAACCCATTTTAAATGTCCTCTTCCATGCTGTAAAAGGCTGAGCAACACACACACACACACACACACACACACACACACACACACACACACAGACACACACATACACACACCACAGAATACAATAGATGCTTCTTCCTAGATGGTAGGGGGGGACCTGCTGAGGAACCAGTAGTTCCAGGAATGAGCACTCCCCACCTTTGACCGCAGTTCTTGTAGGTATCTGTCTTGCTGATGGGAAGTAGTTCTTTCTTGGAAGAGGAGGAGCCTATAGCCCAGAAAACCTTGAAGCCTGCAATCCAAGATCAGACCAACCAACACCACAATTGGCAGAGAAAGGCCTGCTGCTACTGTGGGTCCATTGAAAATGGAATGGGCCATGATTCTGCATGAAAGGGTTATTATGGGTGGAGGGAGAGAAGGGAAGGGTGCTGGTTAGTTACCTGGGAAGAGTCTCAATGAGGGATTCTCTACATTGAGTTGACCTGTGTTGGATTGTCTTGATTAAGTTCACTGATGTGGGCAGCACCATTCCCTAGGCAGAGTCCTGAATTGCACGAGAGTTGAGAAATGGAGCTGAGCGCAAGCAAGCAAGCAAACACCCATGCATTCACTTCTCTAAGCTCTTGACTGCACAGATGTTGTCACTAGCTGTCTGAAGTTCCTGCCTTGACTTTCTTACAATGAGTGTCCACAACTGTAAGCTGAAATAAACTTTGATTTCCCATAACTGTCCTTTTGACAGGGTATTTTATTGCAGCAACAGAAGGAAATTAGAACAGGAAGAAAGGAAAGAAAACCAAAATCCTTTCAGTGCATTGCGGTCATGGCTCTGTGGCTGCAGCTGTCTTAGGTTCATATCCTCTGCTAGCATTCCACACAAACTGAAGCCGCTCTAGATCAAGGGAAGCTGCACATCCCACAAAACACAGAGGATCCATGACACTATGAAAGTGACCAAAGAACAGTGGCTGAACACTGCCAAAGCCAGAGACAGTCAACTCCAGCACTTCGAACAGGAAATAGGTCCTGGTTGACAAGTGTAGGGGCTCTAGGGTGGGTTGAGTATAGACAGAGTTGGATGTGATAAAAGTGGGCTCCACCACCTTTTTTTTTGGTATGGGAATCCTCCTCTGGAGAGTGATTGACTGTCTGGTAATGAGAGGAGGATCTCCATACCAAAACTTTCATTGACATCATGGAATCCTCTGTGTTTTGTGGTGTGTGTGTCTCCATCCGTGAGTGCACACATATGTGTATATGTAAAGATAACTGCTATTGGTAAGTGGATGAGCTGCTGAGTGCTGCACTATTCCAGACATGATCTTTGTTAATGTTCTCAAGACAGAATGACTTTTTTCCTGTTTAGGAACTTGAATAATCTGAACTGAGGGAGAATCCCAGCATGTTTCCACTGTAAGATCAAAGACAAACTGTCCTGAAGTAAATGGATGGTGACAGCTCAGGCCTGAAGAATTCTTCTTGACTCCCAGGAGCCTCATCTCCTGGGCTCCTTCTAGACTATCTCTCTGGAGACATGTTTGGAAGGATAGACCATGTGACAATGACTAGCTGGCACTAACTAGGGCCATGTCTTAGTTAGGTTTACTATTGCTGTGAAGAGACACCTTGTCCATGGCAACTCTTATAAAACATTTAATTGGGGTGGCTCACTTACAGTTTCAGAGGTTCAGTCCATTATGATCATGAAGAGGAGCATGGCAACGTGTAGGCAGAGGTGGTGTTGGCTACATCTTGCAGGCAAAAGGAAGTTGATTGACTGTCACACCCAGTGAAGCTTGAGAAAAAAACACCTCAAGGCCCACCCACACAGTGACCTACTTCCTCCAACAAGACCACACCTACTCCAACAAAGCCACACCTCCTAATAGTGCCACTCCCTTTGAGGGCCATTTTCTTTCAAACCACCACAGGCCTGTGAGGGTGAAGTCCAGACAGAAAGCTGAGGTTACAGGGGAAGAGAGAGGATGCCCGGGTGAGCCTTGTACAGGAGACCAGTCAATGGGGCCACCAATAGCCCCCTGATCTGCTTTGGAACCAGCCCCTTCCAGGCCTGTTCCATCATGGTAACAATGGGTGGCCCCACTCTTCCAGTACTTAGACCAACCTCCTTAGTGTCACCATCCACTTCCAAACAGAGGCAACCCCCAGTAATTGAACCCTTCAAATACACTTAGGATTTAATTTACCAATTGCTACCTGGTAATTTACTTAACTGCTACCTCTGCTGCCACACCCAATCTCAATGGCACTTGCTAACTGCCATTTACCACTGTCATGCAAGTTATAAACATCAACTCACCCCAGCAATCAGAAACTCTTCTGAGCTGTCCACTCCTTTCTTAGAGATTGAATGGTTCATTTTTGGATAGCTGTGGGTTCATGTGTAGTCACAACAGAACATAAAGAGGACCCAAGGTACCTGTCCCAGCTTTCACATGGCACCATCCTAAAAATATAATAGTGTTACCCCAGGATGCTTGTATTAATATAGCAGAGACAGGATGGATATGATCAAAATACATTGTATACATGTATAAAACTCTCAAAAATTAAATCAAAGTAAGTATCATATTTAAACATGAACTAATGAATAGCATTTTTCCAAAAAGAAAGAAAAGCCTGGAGAGATGGCTCAGCAGTTAAGAGCACTGAGTGCTCTCCAGAGGACCCAGGGTTCAATTCCCAGCACCCCTAGGGCAACTCACAATTATCTATAATTCCAGTTCCAGGGGGATCTGACACCCTCTACTGGCCTCCTCAGGCACTACATGCATGTAGTGCACATACATACATGCAGGCAAAACACCCACACACATAAAATAAATAAATAAATCTTTAAAAATAAGAAAGGAAAAGAAACTACCCTGACAGTTGACTGAAACATCCCATAGGCCTTGGTCTAGAGTGAATAAGGAGAGAGGGAGCATCCATCTCTCTGTTCTTGCTGCCATGCCTGCCAGACCATGGTGGACTGCACTCTCAAACTGTGAGCCACATAGCATTCATACACATGAAATAAATAAACCTCAAAATTAATATAAGATAAGTACAGATTGCCAGGAATTACACTAAGAAAATCAACATCCTTATAAGAGAAATGAAAAATCCAAACTATACTGGGTTCTGCCTCATCCCAGTCAAAATGGTTATCCTTAAAAACAAATAACAATGCTGAGCAGTGGTGGTGCATGCCTTTAATCCCAGCACTCAGGAGACAGAGTCAGTTCGATCTCCTGAGTCAAGTCCAGTTTGGTCTACAGAGCATGTTCTGGGATATCCAAAAAAGCCCTGTTTTGAAAACAAACAAATGAACACAAAAACTAATAATAAACAAAATGCAGAGAAACCCTTAAACACTGCTAGTTGGAAAACTGCTGTAGCCACTATGGAAACCAGTACAGAGGTTCCTGAAAAACTAAGAGTAGGATTACCATGAGACCCTGCATGTTCCTCCTGGGAAGACAGTCAAGGGACCCAAGCCAACACATCGGAGTCTCCTTCAAACCCACACTCTTCACACAACAGCCAGGCTATGGGGTCAGCTGAGATGTCCATCCACAGACCAATGGATAAAGAAAATGTGGTTTACATACACAATGGAGCTTTTGGCCATAGAAATAAAATGATGTCATGCTCAGGGAAGTGGATGTTACTGGGAAACATTGTATTAAGTAAGCAATCCCCACACATGTGTATATGTGTAATGGCATGACAGAGGAAGAGGGACTATTTGTGGTAAAGGAAGACACTATTTGGAATGAAGAAAGAGAACAGGAATGGTAAGGGGGTGAATATGGTCAACACATAGTACACTTAAATGGATGCACAGAATGTTATCCTAAAATCTCTTACTTCAGAGAACAAATATACCCTTATAAAAAAGTTTGTTTTATTTCACTTTGTTCTGCCTTGTATTTTGAGACAGCTTCTCACCATGTTGCTGGGCTGGCCTAGAACTTGCTATATAGACCAAGCAGGCCTCAAACTCACAGAGATCCATCTGCCTCTACTCCATGCCCCAGTGCTGGTATTAAGGTATTTACTATCACACACAGCTTAAAAAAATTGTTTTTAAGGAAATAATCAAGGACAGCATTGAGAATCCATGACAAGACCATGTAAACCATAAAGTAAATAAAAACAACTAACTAGAAAAGTCATCTGGCAGAAAAGAGGCAAGGAGAATATACAGAAGAAGGGAGGCAAGAGCCTGGAGCTGCAGTCTCCTCCTGTGAGCCGGCTCTACTGGTTTGCTTTCTACGGCTGTGATAACCGCTGTGACCAAAAGCAGCTTGTGAAGAGGAGTTTATTTCATCTTCCAGCTTCCAGTCCAACACGAAGGGAAGTCAGAGCAGGGACACGAGGAAGAAGCAGATACAGAGACTGTGGAAAGAAAATACTCACTGGCTTGTTTTCCATGGCTTGCTCAGCCTGCTTTCTTATAGAACCCAGGACCAGCAGCCCAGGGATAGAACTGACCCCAGTAGGCTGAGCCCTCCCACATCAATCATCAATCAAGAAAATGCCTGCAGCTGGGCAGTGGTGGCACAAGCCTTTAATCCCTGCACACTCTGGAGGCAGAGGCAGGTGGATCTTTGTGAGTTTGAGGCCAGCCTGGTCTACAAAGCAAGTTCCAAGACAGCCAGGACTATTACACCGAGAAACCCTGTCTCAAACAAAACAAAAGAAGGAAGAAAGGAAAGAAAATACCTCCCACAGACTTACTTACATGCCAGTCTGATGGAGGCATTTTCTCAATTGAGGTTCCCTCTTCCCAGATGACTCTAGCGTGTGCCAAGTTGATATAAAAACTAAGCAGGGGGTGCTAGAGAGATGGCTCAGTGGTTAAGAGCACGGGCTGTTCTTCCAGAGGACCTGGGTTCAATTCCCAGCACCAACACAGCAGCTCACAACTGTCTGTAACTCCAGTTCCACTGGATCTGACACCCCTACACAGACATACATGCAGGCAAAACACCATAAAAAGAAATGAAAATAAAAACAAGCAAACAAACAAACAAAAACCTAATCAGGGCAGCCTACGGTGGAGCAGATTGGAAGATGGAGGACTTCCCACAGTCAGATATCAGCTCCAGCCTCCAGTCTTCCTGGTTGGCTGCCCTCTTCATATTCCCCTCCATTAAACGCCAGCTCATGTGTAGAAATGGCTTTGCCTTTGTGCTGGACTTATGCTGGAGACAGGGGAGGATTTTGTCAATGGAGATTGCAAACTTAGAACTGGTCCTCAGGAACAGGTATCTGACCCTCCTTTGACACGGCCAACCATGGTCTTGATGCCACACTTGGCACTGAAGCATGAGTGCTGAGCCTTTCCCATTCCTAGGCCCCAAGAGGATTTTCACTTCCTATTCCTCTTCTACAGCCATGTGAGCCTTCACCTGTGGCCATCAGAGAGCATAAAGCAACCCCATGGAACTTCTAGAGATAAAAACCACTGTCTGGAGTAAAATATGACGGATGAATCTAATGGCATATTGGAAATTGGTAAAGGAAAAACAGTCAAACTTTGAAGACAGCACTAGAAACCACCTGGAAGGAAAACAGAAAATTTTGAAATGTGTGACAAGATTGACACCCTCTTTCTCTCCCTCTGTCCTTACCTTCCTTATTCCTCCTTCCTTTCTTTATTCCTTCCTTCCTCCCTTCCTGTTTTCCTTCCTTGAACTAACAGTAGTTCATTGGACTGCAGGGATTAAAAATAAGTCTTGTTTACATGTAAACAAAAAAGAAGTGATCACAAGCTGAGTGCAAACACCTGGGCAGGGATATAAAGGGCCCAGACTCAGGAGGCTCCACACCTGCACACCTCCCTCTCCATCTGCTCCTCTAATCTACGCCATCCTCAACCAAACACCAGAACCATGAGCTGCTGTGGCTGTTCAGGAGGCTGTGGCTCCAGCTGTGGGGGCTGTGGCTCCAGCTGTGGAGGCTGTGGCTGCAGCTGCTGCAAGCCTGTGTGCTGCTGCAAGCCTGTGTGCTGCTGTGTGCCTGCCTGTTCCTGCTCCAGCTGTGGGGGCTGCAAGGGAGGCTGTGGTTCCTGTGGGGGCTGCAAGGGAGGCTGTGGTTCCTGTGGGGGCTGTAAGGGAGGCTGTGGCTCCTGTGGGGGCTGTAAATCCTGCTGTTGTCAGTCCAGCTGCTGCAAACCCTGTTGCTGTCAATCCAGCTGCTGCAAGCCCTGCTGCTGTGAGTCCAGCTGCTGTAAGCCCTGCTGCTGTCAGTCCAGCTGCTGCAAGCCCTGCTGCTGTCAATCCAGCTGCTGCAAGCCCTGCTGCTGTCAGTCCAGCTGCTGTAAGCCCTGCTGCTGTCAGTCCAGCTGCTGCAAGCCCTGCTGCTGTCAGTCCAGCTGCTGCAAGCCCTGCTGCTGTCAGTCCAGCTGCTGTGCCCCTGTGTGCTGCCAGTGTAAGATCTGAGGTTCTCTCTACACACCTCAGCTGGGTCCTGAAAATCTTGTCCTCAAGGATCAATGGAAACTGCATTTTGACATCCTGAGAAAACTTGCATCTATTCTTTGGATTATGGCAGGCTGAGGTGCCAATATCAGCACCCAGCCTGCAATATTGAGATTATGGAGCATACCATGTCCTCAATCCTGCCCAAACTCCTAAATCCTGTGTCTTTCCTGGATTCACTACTCCACCTTCCCAGAATTCCAAGGCTCCAGTTCACTTGCTGGGAACATTCTGAGACTGGATGTCCTCAGAACAGAGGCCCTCACTGGCCCCTCGCACCCTAGCCCTCAGCCTCATGCCCCTCCCAGTTGCCTGAGCCCTATTTCCTTTGGAGTTCAATCTCCAGGACATGGTGACACTGGAGACCTCCAAGTTACATCATGGGGGAAGGGATTCTTCCATTTCTCCCCTGCTTCTGTGGCTGTGACTCACCCAGGAGCTCTCCCTTTGTTAAATGCTGTGCCTGAATTATTAAATAAATTTATTGCATACCTCTCAAGAGCTTTTGCCATCATCTTGTGTTTTCAGTCTGTGTAATTAGGAGCCTGTGCTGATTAGCGGTTTTAGCTGTTACCCTTGTTCCTTGCTCCCCATGGCCTCCCTTTGCTAGGGTTCCATCACAGAGTTCTACAGAGCAGGTGATTTAAATGAAGAAATCAACACAAAGGTCTCATGGCGATGTGGCTCAGTGTAGGCAATGGTGTAGCATAAGGGAGACCCTAGACTCTATTCCAGAGTCACACACAAAAAAAAAAACAACCAGAAAACAAAACCAATAACAGGGAAAAAAGAAATAGGATTGTGAAGGCCAGATGTCTGAAACTGAGGTGTCACAGAGCAGTAGCTCTGTCCTCTGTCCTCCTATGCCCTCTGCTGTTGGCTTGCTATTCTATCTTGCACATGTGCTCTTCTCCTGTGTGTCTGTCATGGTCCTGTTTCTTGTAGTACAGTTGTGTGTAACGAGGCCTCCACAGTATGTTATGGACCCATCGTAGCTTATTACATTTGTAAAGACCCTTTTCCCAGACAAAGTAGTCTCTGAGGTGCTTTGAGACAGGGTCAGGGTTCAGCTGAGGCACCCTTCCAGGATCAGGGAATCATGCCTTCCTACCTTCCACAATGAAGAACTTGTGGGCATCTTTGGGCCCTCTGTCTTACCTGTTACCAAACCCTATAATCTTTCCCAAACATGTCATTCAGCACCTCCTTTTGGCTCAGCCTCCATCTCCCTGCTGGGCCCCATATCTACCCCTTACCTATGATATTTATTGTTAATCTTGAGCCACAGAAACAACAACAACAAAAAAAAAAACCCCATCACATTGTGGCTTACGTGGCACTCATGATATGTCACAGGCATGGTCTTCTCTGGGCTTTGTAGCAGAAGGCAGCATCAAGGACTGGCAGGTTGAGGCTCTGGCAAGGTCTCTTTGCAGCCAGTAGATATTCCCTTCTCACAGGTCCTTATGATAGTGGGCAAATGAGGAGATAAATATGAATAACTAAGGAAAACTGCAGCTGTGTACTAGAGACTCTGTCTCCATGCTTATGGTGGACCTTTTGTGGTTAAACCACCTTAAAATTTAAGATAGGTTAATCCTGTTATATCAGGATTGAAAGCTTCTGGGCATCCAGACTTATGCACTGATGAAGGGTCTGCATCCTCAAAAGATGTAAGGTCATAATAACATCCTCTGCATAATGGTTTACACACACACACACACACACACACACACACACACACACACCTTTTGTGGAGATCATGGAAAGAAGGATCTGGTCCACCATGATTTGGAAGAGGAAAGGGATCACCTAATTCAATGAACGTTACCCGCTTCATAAATATTTGTGAACCCTTCTTTGAAACCCAGAGTCCAGAAGCCACCAGGCTGATCACTGCCTTGGGGTAGACCACTTCAAACTTTATTTGGAATGTGTGCTTTGCTAAATAAACTTCTGATCAAACTATCTCTATTTCTTGGCTGAATTCTTTTTTTTAATTGAAAAAAATTGCTGTTATTGATTTTTGAGACAGTTTCTCTGCATATCCTTGGCTGTTCTGGAACTTGCTCTGTAGACCAGGCTGACCTCAAACTTACAGATCCACCTGCCTTTCACCTCTCCAATGCTGAGATTAAAGGCATAGGTTACCACTGCCCAGCTTATTTGAAATTTTTTTATATACTATATTTTGTTCATGTCCCCGCCAGTTCCCTCAGATTCTTCACACCTCTTTACTCACCCAACTTTATGGTCTCTTTCTTTCAAAAACAAAATAAAAAACCCAAGAAACACATACACATTAAAAAAACACACACAAAAACAAAAATCAAAACAAGCAAAAGACCCATAAGGTGAAAAGTGCCAAAACCAAAGCAAAATGAAACAAAAAGTCCACAAAAAATACCACAGAGCTTGCTTTGTGTTGGCCAACTACTCCTGGGGCTTGCTACAATACATGGGGCCTGCCCTGAAGTGTGGTTAATATACCAGTGAGACCATCGGAAAGACACCTATTTTTTGTTTGCCAGGAGACATCAATTTCTGATAGCTTCTTGGCTAGGGCTGGGACCCCATGTCCACTTCTCCCTCTCAGTCGGCTTGAATCTGTGTGGGTCTTCTCCATGCTTTGGCCGAATTATTTACTTCAAGAAGAGAGACACCTGTAACATCTGGTGCCAGCTTCCTTCAGAGGCATGACAAACTCTCACTTTTCTGAGGCCAAGGGAGAAAAACGTGTAAAGGAGCCCTTTGAAACACCCAAGTGCCACTAAAGATTGTCTAAGCTTGGCCTTAATGGTACAGAAAAGTTAAAACTGTTGAAACTGCTCTCCTGGGTGCTATTGAAACTGCTCTCCTGGGTGCTCAACAGCCAAAGCTTGGAGGCCTATACCAATGAGGAGAGAGACAAAAAGAACAACCATGTGGTTGTTCACAGGACCCAAACTGAAAGACACAGATGAGGTGGTATTGTGTTCCCCCAAATATTGTGCATGCTAATAAACTTATCTGGGGTCAGAGACAGAATAGCCACAATGTTAAACATAGAGGATAGGCAGTGGTAGCACACACCTTTAATCCTAGCATTCCATGTGTTCAAGGATACAGTCAAGCATGGTGACTCAAACCTTTAATCCCAGAAAGCAAGCCTTTAATCCCAGGGAGTGGTGGTAGAAAGCAGAAAGATATATAAGGTATGAGGACCAGAAACTAGAAGCATTCGGCTGGTTAAGCATTTGGCTGGTTAAGCGTTTAGGCTTTGGAGCAACAGTTCAGCTGAGAGCCATTTGGATATGAGAACACAGAGGCTTCCAGTCTGAGGAAACAAGATCACCTGAGAAGTTGGCCAGGTGAGGTTAGCTGTGGCTTGTTCTGTCTCTCTGATCTTCCAGTATACACACCAATACTTAGCCTCAGGTTTGATTTTATTAATAAGAACTGTTAAGATTCCTGCTACACACAGATCAAGAAGAAACTTACCAAGAAATGACTTTGTCTAGACTCCAAAAGAAAAACAAAACATTCATTTCTCTGCTTCACCTAGTTGAGATTAAAGCAGTTGATGTGGCTGAAGTGGAAAGATTAAGGAAAACATCCCTAGAATAAAGGGACTCCATGGCTATATGGGACCGTTCAATCTTTCCTCTCCATCCTGGACCAACTTTCTAAGGAAAAAACAAGTAACCAGAATTGTTACCAGAGTTATTAGGGTACAAGCCTGGGCCCCAGCAGCTCTAACAACCTATACCCAGCCCCTCTCAATGGACCCATTAACAGACAAGACATAGTGAAAATCAGAGAAAGGAGAATTATTCAGATTTGCCACATTGGAATGAGGAACAAAGATGTCCAGTGACCTCCCTAGCCCATCCTCAGGTCCTGTCATGAAATTTGGGTTTAAACAGAGGGCAGGAGGTGTGCATTCCTAAGCAGTCCTGGTCAAGGTGTGGTCCTGCCCGTCACTGACCCATCACTGTCAGCTCCAGTCCCTCCTGCAAGGTGGTCTGACAAGTTCTCAGAACTCTGGGAGATCTCTGGGAGACAAGTGTCCCCTCTGGCTAGCACCAGGCTTCAGCCTTTCCCTTCCCCAGCACTGTAGAATAATATTTTAAGGTGTGTTACTTTGTTTATGTCCGTTTGTTTAATTCTGTGAAGCTGTGTTACTGTGCCTGTCTAAAACACCTGATGGTCTAATACAGAACTGAATGGTCAATAGCAAGGCAGGAGAAAGGAGAGGTGGGGCTGGCAGACAGAGAGAATTATTTAGGAAGAGAAATCTGGGAGGAAAGAAAAGGAAGTAGTAGCCAGAGAAGGAGGAGGACTCCAAGGGCCAGCCACCCAGCTACCCAGCCACCCAGCTACACGGCAAGTCATGGAGTCAGAGTAAGATTTACAGAAGTAAGAGAATGGGAAAAGCCCAGAGGCAAAAGGTAAATGGAATAATTTAGAGTTAAGGAAAGCTGGAAAGAAACAAGGTAAGCTAAGGCCAGACATTCATATTTAAGAATAAGCCTCGCCAGGTAGAAGTGGCGCATGCCTTTAATCCCAGCACTCGAGAAGCAGAGCCAGGTGGATCTCTGTGAGTTCAAGGCCAGCCTAGTCTACAGAGTGAGATCTAGGACAGGCACCAAAACTACATGAAGAAACCCTGTCTTGGGAGGGAAAAAAAGCCTCTGAGTATGATTTATTTGGGAATTGGGTGGTAGGCCCCTCAAAAGAGTAAAAAACAACCAATACCTGGTGTGAAACTCACAGAGAAACTTCAATTCCTTGAGGACTGTAATTCAATAGTCTGATAGCTGAAGGGAGAGACACACATGTCTCTCAGAATATCATACATGCTAGGAATGTTACAGCTACAGAGACTGTCCTAGGAACAGGAAGAAGGAAGCAAAGACCCCATTTCCCCACAGTGGAGGACACTGCCATCATTGCTGTGGTCACCAGGAAGAGGTCACACCAAGGGAAAGAGCAGAGGGTGGCATGGCTCTGGTTTGAGGGCATCTGAGAGTTAGAAGTGTGGCAGGAGGGGCAACAGCCTAGCATGCCTCAGACACAAAGCACCACAGAGGTTGGATCCCTTAGCAGGGGGCCCGGGGTGTGAGGGGCTTAAGAAGGCATAAGGCAGAAATTATCTCACAAAACCTTCACACCCCAGAGGCCATTCTGGTCGCTCCATTCTGTTGAAGAGGAGCCCACAATGGAACCTGCTCAACAACAAAAGGGTGTAAGAGCCCGAGTCCCAACCAGGCCACACTCAATGACATGAATGAAGTCAGAGAGAGTTTTTCTTCAGTATGAGTTCCACAGGAAATTACCCCAGAAAACCTACATTCCAACTATAGAGAGTCAACAGACCAAAGAAAAATCACCAAACAAGTCCAGAGTAAACAGGACAAGAACAAGGAAGAAACCACGTGTGCCTTCACACATGACCCTGGGCAGCAATATAAAGGGCCCAGGCTCAGGAGGCTCCACACCTGCACACTTCCCTCTCTATCTGCTCCTCTAACCTACTCCATCCTCAACCAAACACCAGAACCATGAGCTGTTGTGGCTGTTCAGGAGGCTGTGGTTCCAGCTGTGGAGGCTGTGGCTCCAGCTGCTGCAAGCCTGTGTGCTGCTGTGTGCCTGTCTGTTCCTGCTCTAGCTGTGGTGACTGTGGCTCCAGCTGTGGAGGCTGTGGCTCCAGCTGCTGCAAGCCTGTGTGCTGCTGTGTGCCTGTCTGTTCCTGCTCCAGCTGTGGGGGCTGCAGTGGAGGCTGTGGCTCCTGTGGGGGCTGCAAGCCTTGCTGCTCTTCAGGCTGTGGGTCATCTTGCTGTCAGTCCAGCTGCTGTAAGCCCTGCTGCTGCCAGTCCAGCTGCTGCAAACCCTGCTGCTGTCAATCCAGCTGCTGCAAACCCTGCTGCTGTCAGTCCAGCTGTTGCAAGCCCTGCTGCTGTGAGTCCAGCTGCTGTAAGCCCTGTTGCTGTCAGTCCAGCTGCTGCAAACCCTGCTGCTGTCAGTCCAGCTGCTGTAAGCCCTGCTGTTGTCAGTCCAGCTGCTGCAAACCCTGCTGCTGTCAGTCCAGCTGCTGCAAGCCCTGCTGTTGTCAGTCTAGCTGCTGCAAGCCCTGCTGCTGTCAGTCCAGCTGCTGCAAACCCTGCTGCTGTCAGTCCAGCTGCTGCAAGCCCTGCTGCTCTTCAGGCTGCGGGTCATCTTGCTGTCAGTCCAGCTGCTGTAAACCTTGCTGCTGTTAATTCAGCTGCTGTGCTCCTGTGTGCTGCCATTGAAAGATCTAAGGTTCTGGTCACAGTCCTCCAGTAGTCCTGCAGACCAGCTCCCTCCACACAGGGACAGGAATGGCACCCATCAGCCCTGAGGTTCACCTCTGAGTCTTCATCCTCTGGTCCTGAAGCTACATCTCCAGACTGAGGGGGATATGTCTTGGTGTGGAGAAGAACACCTCTTGCTGGGAGCTCACTCCCCATTCCACACTCACTGGATCAGATCTCCATCCACTTCCTTCTCTCTGGTCTCCAGGACTCTGACCTCCTTGGGATCTGGCCTCACCTGGAGGCTCCATCGTGTCCACAGGTCAGTAGCAGACTATGGAGGTCCCCAGAACTTGTGCCCCCAGGGATCTGTGAACTCCTTTCCACCAAGCATTGGCCTGGCCAGGCCCATCTTCACTTGACCTCCTCTGGGTTTCTGTTCTTTCTGATTCTCTGTTGGGGTGTGCACTGTGCCTTTGATACAAACATCCTTCAATAAACATTCTCTGCCCACTGTAATTCTCATGTCGTTCTTTGTTTTCATAATTGATCAGTAAAACCTCCTGTTTTCTCCCTATCCAGTTTGTCCTCTGAGGTTCCTTGTGTCAGTTCCAGCCGTGCATTCTTCTGCCTTCTTCCCCACATCCCCAACCCCCACCAGCGCCAACCCCATCACACCCAATATGGAGCAAGCTGGGCCAGGGAGGCTGGACAACACAGCAGCTCTTTCAGAGTTAGACATCTTCAGAGAATCTGGGAATAGACATGGCAGAGTGGGCGGTTCTTTAAGTCACTGAGCCAAGACCAAGCAATTCAAAGGCAGTCCTGTAAGAACCAGACAATGCTAAGGGTGCAGCCGTTTCTCTCATGGGTGCAGCCAAAGCTTCTGCAGCTAGCTATGCGGCCTGAGGATACCCTGGGGGTGTCCAAACCTGCCTTCCTTGCGCCGGATACATTTGGGCTTGCTGAAGAGGAGTTGTAAAGCATGTTAAGGTCCTTTGTCCATGTCTTGTTGTCTTTTACTGACACTGTGAGTCAAGATAAAAGGAAGTAAACAACCAGTTCCTTTCTTCAGTCACATAGGCCACTTCACAACTATAGCAGCTCATATGGTCCAAGGTTGAGTCACCTATCAGCAGCACAGGCCACATTCCATGGATGCAGGGATGTCCAATGGATAGTAGGGGTTAGAATCAGAAAGAGCTTTATAGAATGAATGTCATCAAGATGATAAAGCTAATGCCCATGCTCATAATTTCTTGTTCCCCCTCTTCCTTCTCTTCTTTCTCTAGTTCAGGGACTCTACCAACTCAGCTACATCCAAACACCAGACTTGTATATTTCTTACTAAAAGAACTAAGGTGCCTAGACTGCTATAAGAAATTACTAGAAACTGAATGGGTTCAAATAGGAAAAATGTATTTTCTCAGAAAGTGGGAGTCCAGAAGTCTAAATCCAAGGTCTTAGCCAAGAGCGCCTCCTCTCTAGAGATTGAGGGAGAACTGGCGTTTCATCTGGTGGATTTCATCTGGTTGGCATTCTTAGTGTCTTTGTTACTTTTCTGTTACAGTGGTAAGACATCATGACCAAGGCAAATTATTGAAAGGGTTTATCAGGAGCTTAGAGTTTCAGAGAGTTAGATTCCATGACCATCACGGTGGGGAGCATGGCAGCAGGAAGTATTTGAGAGCTTACATCCTGAGACAACAATCATGAGGAAGAAAGAGGGCTTACTGGCAATGATAAGGGCTTTTGAAACCTCAAAATCCACCTCCAGTGACACAGCTCCTCTAACAGGGCCCCACCTCCTAATCCTTCCCAAACAGTTCTACCGACAGGAGATCAAGTATTCAAATCTATGAATGCCTGTGGCAGCCATTTTCATTCACACAGGCTGCTGGTTGCAGCCTTCAAACCTGTCTTCCTCCCTCGCTAGTCACACTCCCTCTGCCTTTGTGGGCCTCTGTCTCTATTTTATAAGGATATGATGGGATTTAAGGTCAACCCAGACATTCCAGGTAAGCGCATTTTTCTTTTGGCTTTGTTGTTCTTTGTTTTGAGTTTATTGGGGGTGGGTAATTTAAGTTTAATTTTATTCTATGTGTATGGGTGTTTTGCCTGCATGTATGTCTGTGCACCATGTATGTGCAGTGCCTGCAGAAGTAAGAAGAGAGTGTTGGATCCCTTGAAACTGGAGTTACAGGTGGTTGTAAGCAGCCATGTGGTGCTGGGAATTGAACATAGGTCCTTTACAAGAGCAGCAAGTGCTCTTAACCACTGAGCCATCTCTCCAGCCCCCAGTTTCTTGGTTTTTGTTGTTGTTGTTTGTTTTTTGTTTTTTTTCAAGACAAAGTTTCTCTGTGTAGTTTTGGTGCCTGTCCTAGATCTTGCTCTGCAGACCATGCTGGCCTCGAACTCACAGAGATCTGCCTGGCTCTGCCTCCTAAGTGCTAGTTTCTTGTTTTTATAAGACAGGATCTCAGTTGGTGGCCAAGGCTGGCCTTGGACCCAAGAAATCCTCCTGTCTCTGTCTTCAAAGTCCTGGGACTATAGGTATAAGGCACCATCCTAATCTAGGCTCTTTTCTAAATTCTTCATCTGGTTGTATCTGCAAATTATCTTTCAAAAAGAGCTAAGGCTACCCTTGTGCTCCCCCTGTGATATTCACAGATGCCAGGGATTTGACATGGACATGGAAAACCACCATTCTGTATCCTCAGCCTCCAGATATTCCCATATGCTCCATGTGTAGAGCACATTAGCCCACCTCACCCTGCCTACACCATCTCTCTAAGCATCCTTCTATGTTCGGCCTAGTTATTCTACTCATCAATGTGCCAAGACACCTGTCAAAAGCAATTTAAGGAGAGAGGGGTGTACTTAGACTCACAGTTAGAAGGTACCATCCATCATGCTGGAGAAGGCATGGAAACAGGAACGTTTGCAATTAGAAAGCAGACAGAGATGAGTGCTGGCTTTCCGTTTGCTCTCTTCTTTTCCTTCAGTTCAGGACCCGGGCCCATGAATACTAGCATCCACATTCAGAGCAGGTCTTCACACCTCAGTTAAACCTCTCTGGAGTTTCCTTCACAGAAACATCCAGATGTGTGTCTCTTAGGTGATTTTTAATCCCATTAAATTGAGAAACAAGATTGACCATCACACCCACCCACTCCAACATCTGCACGAGCTGTAGTGGGTACAAATCTGCACAGAGCACTGTTAGTTTCAGAACCCCAATTGTCACCATCTAAACCACCCAGAAGAGGTTCTGCTGAGACTCTGTAAAGGATCTACCTTGGACCAATAATGCCAGTGCTCTATGGCATAGGGGTGTCAAAGCAGATGACATGCCAGTGCTCTATGGCATAGAGGTAGCAAGGCAGAAGATGACATTTGTAGGCATTCTTATTTCCAAAGAGAAGAAATCAAGGAGAAACCTATCCTCAACAAGTCTGAGATCCTGCCAGGCAAATTTCATTAGGGATTGAGGTTTTGAGTAAGAACCCTATGGTTTGGTACACCTTCTTGTAGACCACAAAGGTCCCATTGGCCTCCAAGTTACCCTCAGGCCTCCTTTCTCTCTCCAGGAGGGCAGCACCCAGGCAGCTCAGGAGTCTTAGCATCCCATTCTTCACCTGGTGAGCACAGACATCCCTGCTTCCTTTTCCTTTGTCTTAGCTGCTTTCCTATATACAGGAAGTAGGTTTCTTTGGCTGAGGATTTCCAAGTAGCAAGAACATGGCTGGCTTCTTTCTGCTTTTCTGATCTCTCAGATTTTACCAATATCTGGCTCCAGGTTTTTTATTAATAACCATTTAGCAATTCTTCTTACACCTAAGCCTCCCTGTACTGGGTGGTTTTGTGTGTCAATTTGACACAAGCTAGAGTCATCAAAGAAGAAGGAGCCTCAGCTGAGGAAACGCCTCCTTGAGATTCAGCTGTAAGGCATTTTCTCACTTAGTGATCAATGGGGGAGGGCCTGTGGTGGGTGGTGCCATCCCTGGGCTGCTGGTCCTGGTTTCTATAGAATGTAGGCTGAGCAAGCCATGGGAAGCAAGCCAGTAAACAGCATCCCTCCATGGCCTCTGCATCCTGCCTCCAGGATCCTGCCCTGTTTGAGTTCCTGTCCTGACTTCCTTCAGTGATGAACAGCAATGCTGAAGTGTAAGTCAAATAAGCCCTTTCTTCCCCAACTTGCTTTTGGTCATGGTGTTTTGTTGCTCAAACCACCACACACTCCATCCCTCCAACCATGAATGGCTCTGGAACCAAGTGAATTTCCCATGCAAGCCCCAGGAACTCACATCACGATGGAGCAGGAGAAGCATCCTTGGATCACACCTAGTGCCTCATCTCCATTCCAGGCTTCTTCTGAGAAGGCTGACCAGCTCCATTCATTGTACGTCCAGTCATTTGACAATTGAGCAGTTCCTCAGGTTGTCTCTGCAGAACACATTTCTTTAACAACAGTTATCTTCATGCAGCATCTTTTTCAGTCTTGATAGGCTGAGCATTTGGCTTAGTGATTCCTTCCTCAATTGTCTCTTTCATCTCTTTGAATCAGAAAGAGAAAACACCTTTACTATTTTGCTTGGAAATATTCTCACCTAAATATCTACATTCACCACTTACAAGGTCTGCTTTTTTTTTGACCCCCTTGTCACCAGGTCTACCTGCATGTAACACAATTGCCTGTCCTCTGGTTTATAATAATATTGCCATTTCTTTCTCAGCCCTCTTTGGCAGAGTCCTTAACTGGTGTCATTATCTAAATATTCTTTATCAATAGAAAATTGGGAGTCAGATATTGGGGTAAGAACCTGAAAGATCAGAGAAGCAGCAGAGCAGCCAGCAGTGACTTCCTACCTCTTCCGTTCCTTCCTGCCAAAGGGCCAAGATCCTCTCTCAGCCCCGCCTTACTACTTCCTCAGTCCTGCAAAACCTCTATGGTTAATTTTGGTCAGCTAGTGCCTAGCTCCACCCTCTGATTCAAAACAAACTTTATTGTTAGAACGCAATCAAAATATCACACAACACTTAACACCCACATATCCACCAACAGTCTATGCCAGGCTTTGTGGCCTTTTCTGTGATGTATCGCAATGTGGTTCCATTCCTAATTATCTAAATCCAAGACCGTGTTGTGTGTTTAAGTACTGTCTCAGCTACATCCCATGTTCATGTGTTCTGATACCACTCCAGCAGCACTCCATTCCCAGACACCAAAGTCTGCATTCATTTTCCATGATCTTTTAACAAGTGACCCCAGCATAACAGTTTGTAGATTATGACATTTTCTCCTGAGTTCTGGTGACAGAAGTCTGAAATTGAGGGTTAGCAGGGTCCCTTCCTGTACAGAATACAGGGTTGTTATGTTTCTGGCCTCTTGTGATTCCGTGTAGTTGACATTTCCTGACTTGTGGCCAAATGACTGTAAGTTGCCTCCTCAGCCACACATAGTTCCCACCCACATGTTTGTTGGTCTGTCTGATCATCTGTCTGTCTGTACTCTCTGTAGAACTTCTCATTATGGTGTGTGGAGACCATTCAGATAAACCAGGGAACACTAAGATCATTAATTTTGTCTGCAAAGACTCTTTCTCACAAGAATGTGTCATTCACTCTTTTGCCAGATAAAATGACATTCACAGATCACACAAATGAAGATGTGGGAAACCTATAATGATGCACCAGAGTAGAGAAAACTCACTATAGCTCAGCAGAGGCATTGTCTGTCCCCTGGGTACATCAGCACTACATCCCATGGTTCCTTACTTATGTGGTTCCAGTGAATTGTGCTATAAGGCAGGTTCTCAAAAGGACACAAGGACATGAGGGGTAGAAGCTGTGGCATTCTGTAGTTCGCATACATGGTTGCCAACTCACCCTGTGGCTTACACACATGGTCATCAACTTGCTTGCCCATTCCTGTAGTTTACACATGTGGTTCCTTACCTGACACATGGTTATCAGCCTGCTCACTTACCTTGTAACTCACACACATATTGATCATCCTTACACAGGGCCGCTGACCCACCCACTCATCCATCCTGTAGCTTGTACACATAGTCACAATCCTATTAACTCATCTCTACCACTGTGGGTCAGTAGCTAGAAGTTTGTTGGTCTAGCCTCTCTGACCCCTGGCCAAGAGTGTGTGTCCAGATCTGTCACAAGAAGCCCTGTCTTTCACAGGCCCCTCATCCCCAGTAGAAGTAAACACATGCCTCTGTCCATCCTCATGTGCCATCCAATTTATGTGTACAGGCTCAGCCTCCTATAATCCTTGCTTCCTAACCCCTTGTATGTGGAAGGGTCCCATAACAGATGAGGACATAGCTTCGGAGAAGCTGCCTTAACTGGCTCCCAGAATGTGTAAGTCAACCCTGTACAACCCACATCAAACCATGTGTGTGAACTTATGTGGTTAGTGTAAACATACTTATGGTATGTGCAGAATGTGTTAGTATGTGTGCCTATGTGTGTATCTGATGTCCATGATGCAATATGCATGTTCACACAGTGTGCTTGTATGCATGTGCAGTATGTGCATGTATAGAATGTATGTTTGCAGTATGCAACAGTGTATTTGTAGTGAATATAAAGTGTGCGTGTGTGTCCACGTGGTGTGTGTTCATATGCATACAGTGTGAGTGGGTGTGAGCACTTCCTACTCCCTGTTTTTAGCTGGTCCCCTTTCCTCTTTGCCTTGCTCTCCCTGTGCCATGCTTACCTTCTCCCTTCAGCTCCCACCTGATGCCCATCTGTAGAGCTGCCAGGGCCCCTTTTCCACTCAACTTCTAGCCTAAGAAGTCAGGATCCGTACTTGACCATGACTCCGGGTCCCTTGCTGCAGGTTTCTTGGCGGCTCTGCATGAGCTTCAGATCAGTTTTCAAAACTCCTGGATGTGATACCCAAGGCTCTTACAACCTAGAGAATGAAAAGGATTTCAGGCTTGTTTCCTGGCCCTCCCATGTATAACAAGTCAGGTTCCTGTCCTAAATGCTCCAAGTGAGCCCACCCCTTCAAGGCCTTGAGAGCCCCGGGCCTCTCCCGATGCTGAAGTCCTCTGTAGCTTCAGCTCTGATTTCCCAAGTGCTTAAGTAAGTTCAGCCACAGCTCCTGTTTCCTGGCCTCTCTTTGTTGTCTCGTTTTTCAGATTCTCAAAGGAACCCAAGACTCTGTAGCAGCTGCCTTGATTCTCCAGCCTCCACTGCCCCATGCTGGGTGTGCTGGAGTTGGTTTCAGGAGCAGACAGACAGAAGGAAGCACTGCATTAGGGACTAATACAGGAGGCTCAGAGGAAGAATGGGGAAGGGCATAGGGATGGGAGTATATTGCTGGTTAGTCATGAGAACAAAGAACGACATGAGAAATACAGTGGGCAGAGAATGTTTATTGAAGGATGTTTGTATCAAAGGCACAGTGCACACCCCAACAGAGAATCAGAGAGAACAGAAACCCAGAGGAGGTCAAGTGAAGATGGGCCTGGCCAGGCCAATGCTTGGTGGAAAGGAGTTCACAGATCCCTGGGGGCACAAGTTCTGGGGACCTCCATAGTCTGCTACTGACCTGTGGACACGATGGAGCCTCCAGGTGAGGCCAGATCCCAAGGAGGTCAGAGTCCTGGAGACCAGAGAGAAGGAAGTGGATGGAGATCTGATCCAGTGAGTGTGGAATGGGGAGTGAGCTCCCAGCAAGAGGTGTTCTTCTCCACACCGAGACATATCCCCCTCAGTCTGGAGATGTAGCTTCAGGACCAGAGGATGAAGACACAGAGGTGAACCTCAGGGCTGATGGGTGCCATTCCTGTCCCTGTGTGGAGGGAGCTGGTCTGCAGGACTACTGGAGGACTGTAACCAGAACCTTAGATCTTGCATTGGCAGCACACAGGAGCACAGCAGCTGGACTGACAACAGCAGGGCTTACAGCAGCTAGACTGGCAACAGGAAGACCCACAGCCTGAAGAGCAGCAGGGCTTGCAGCAGCTGGACTGACAGCAGCAGGGTTTGCAGCAGCTGGACTGGCAGCAGCAGGGCTTGCAGCAGCTAGACTGACAGCAGCAGGGCTTGCAGCAGCTAGACTGACAGCAGCAGGGTTTGCAGCAGCTGGATTGACAGCAGCAGGGCTTACAACAGCTGGACTGACAGCAAGATGACCCACAGCCTGAAGAGCAGCAGGGCTTACAACAGCTGGACTGACAGCAGCAGGGTTTGCAACAGCTGGACTGGCAGCAGCAGGGCTTGCAGCAGCTGGACTGACAGCAGCAGGGCTTGCAGCAGCTGGACTGGCAGCAGCTAGATTTGCAGCCCCCACAGGAGCCACAGCCCCCACAGGAGCCACAACCTCCCTTGCAGCCTCCACAGGAGCCACAGCCCCCACAGGAGCCGCAGCTTCCCTTGCAGCCGCCACAGGAGCCACAGCCTCCCTTGCAGCCCCCACAGGAGCCACAGCCTCCCTTGCAGCCCCCACAGGAACCACAGCCTCCCTTGCAGCCTCCACAGCTGGAGCAGGAACAGGCAGGCACACAGCAGCACACAGGCTTGCAGCAGCACACAGGCTTACAGCAGCTGGAGCCACAGCCTCCACAGCTGGAGCCACAGCCTCCTGAACAGCCACAGCAGCTCATGGTTCTGGTGTTTGGTTGAGGATGGAGGAGGTCAGAGAAGAAAATGTAGAGGGAAGTGTGCAAGTGTGGAGCCTCCTAAGCCTGGGGCCTTTATATCCCTGTCCTAGGTGACTGATTGGTCCAAGGTCTCTTCCTTATTTCTATTTTTGTACTATCCACAGGGACATTGCCTATGATTTAAAGTAACACAAACATTGCTATACCTCGTGACATACTTCCTACACATACTGTTTTCCTCCCTAAGCCTTCAATGCTCTGATTTCAGGTTCTAGTGTGGCCATATTGCAACTCTGTGTGGCAATAATGCATTATCTGCAGTTTGCAACCCCCAGGAAGGATCTACACAGGTAAGAAGGCAGCCATTCAAAGTTCTCCTATGATAACCAGACTACAACCCACAGTTCCAGAGAAGCTAGCTAACAAGGAGGATTCCAAGAGGGATGCATGGATCACCCTGAAAAGGGAAACAGATGAGATCTCCAGAGTAAACTAGGGCCAAGCAGGAGCAATAGATGGGAGATGATAGGGGATGAGAACATGAGGGAACAGGATGGTGGAGCTGGGGGAGGGACAGAGTGGGAGAGCAATGAAAGAGATATCTTGATAGAGGGAGACATTATGGGGCTAGGGAGAAATCTGGTGCTAGGGAAATTTCCAGGAATCCACAAGGATGACCCCAGCTTAGACTATTAGCAATAGTGGAGAGGGTTCCTGAACTGGCCTACCTCGGTAATCAGATTAGTGAATACCCTAACTGTCATCATAGAGCCTTTGTCCAGTGACTAATGGGAGCAGATGCAGAGATCTACAACCAAGCACCAGGCCAAGCTCCAGGAGTCCAAAGAGAGGGAAGAGAGGGAAGAAGGATTATATGAGCAAGGGGGTGGGGTCAAGTCATAATGATGAAATCTACAGAGACAACTAAACCAAACTCATGGAAACTCACGAACTTTAGACCAACAGTTGTGTAGCTGGGTCTGTTTGAGAGGCTCCTGGCAGTGGGATCAGAATCTATCTCTGGTGCATGGCCTGGCTCTTTTGGAGCCCATTACTTATGGTGAGACAACTTGCTCAGCCTTGATGCAGTGGGGAGGGGCTTCGTCCTGCCTCCACTGAATGTTCCAGGCTTTGCTGACTCCCCATGGGAGGGAATGGGGGATGGGTTGGAGAGGAATGCTGAGGGGGAGCTGAAGGAAGGATGAGAGGGGGATCTGTGATTGGTGTGTAAAATGAATAAAAATATTTTAAATAAAAAAGGGGAAAAAAGTTCTCCTGTAGTCATTCTTCATCCATTTCTCCCCCCTTTGAAGTTCGGGGTTACCTGCCAAAAAATTGCTCACACTGTTTAATAGCACCCTTCATCAGAGGGGCAATTATCCAACCATTTATGGCCTCCTGCTCATTACTGCCCTACAGGTCTCCACACACACTGGCTTTTACGCTAGCTCTCACACTAACTCTTCATAACCTTGTGCTTATTTTAAAATCAAATTTTCTAGACATTCTAGTTTATAAGCTTTATATAAAATAGTTTATATTTTCCTATACAAGGGATAATGCTCCTCCCAGAAGCCATAGTTTGCCAAATAAAAAGCCCACTGCTGGGTATAGGATTCTCCTCTTCAAGCCATTGGTCAGAGGTGTCCTGGAGACCCCTTTAGACAAGTACAAGCTATTGCCACCGTTCTTGGTTACCCACAACAATTTGATAGCTAAGATGCTGTTGCTGAAGACACCACATACATTGATCATATAACATGGAGAAATCAAGCTGGGGCTGACCTGGCCGCTTCCTCTCTGATGGCTAGCTTTCTTAGCTGGGCACCGCTGGTGCAGTAAAACAACAGGTCAGACCCAGAGCCAGAAGAATATGGCGAGCCAGAAATACACAAAGTAAAACAACTGCTTGTGGGGTATGGAGTAAAGTTGACAAGGAATTCTGAGGATGGGAAAGCAGGTTTATGTAAAGCACTGGCTGCCAGAAAACATCTTAGGAAGTGCTGGTGCTTGGGAGATCAAGGGGCCATATGTGTCCTAGACCCTGGAAAACCACATGGATGCTGCTACCAAAGTGCCAGAGCTTCTTGGCTGTAACCACTTGAGTGCTCCCATATCTCGGCGAGCCCAGCCACCACTGGGACATATGTCCCCAGAGGATCGTGGATTCTACCCATCCTGAGCCGAGTGTTTCCATGCATTCCCAGGGCAAGTGAAAGAAGATAGGAAGAAAAGGAGGAAGGGAGGGAGGGAGGGATTGGCTCCTGAGATATGCATTCTTTCAGATGCCCCCAGAATTAGTAGAATATTTTAAGAGATTAGAAACATAAATTTACCTTTTAACTGTCAGCTCTCTGTTGTCAACAAATGTCAGATTCCAGCAGCTGTCTTGCAAGATTGCTGGGTTCTTGTGTACTACAATAAGAAACTGAGCAGGGACATGTGGCCAGAGGAGAAGTAGAGGTAATTCATTAAGACAAGCGCATTCCCAAGGGAGGGTGAGGGCCAGAGCTGGGACACAGGGTGCCCACTTCCCACAGACTGGGGTCTCCAAAGCTCACTTGCATGGCCCATCTTTTTTGTGCATTCTCTATTACATGTTGGTCTTCGGCAGAGAGTTTTCAGTCTTCCTTTCTGCCAAGTGGTTTCTTTCATATGGTAATTTTTAGATATACCACTTTAATAATTTTTAGGACTTATTTATGTGTAAGGATGTTTTGCCTGTATGAATATATGTGAACCACCTGTGTGCCTGGTACCTGTGGGAGCCAGACAAGATTGTCAGATCCTTTGAAACTGGAGCTAGAGATGGTTGTGAGCCACCTTGTAGGTGCTGGGATTCAAACCTGGGTCCTCTGGATAAGCAGCCAGCACTCTTAACTGCCAAGCCATCTCTCCAAATCCTTTCACATGGTAATTTTAGAAGATTTTTTATCTTTATGTATGTGTTTGTGTGCATGTGTATGTGTCACATGTGTGTGAGTGCCCCCAGCAGACAGTCATGTTTGCGGGAGCTGGAGTCACAGGCAATTGTGAGCTGCCTGACGAGTGTGCTGGGAACCGAACTCAGATATTCTGGAAGAGCAATATGTACTCTTAACCACTGAACCATCTCTACAGCCCTCATGTGGTCAATTTGACCTCACTCTCCTGCTACACACCCCCTCCTGAGATCTGTGGTCCCAGAAATCTTTTGATGGAGGTGAAGGATAGTGAGCTACCTTTGGTTATTCCTTCCATACTGATGAAAGGCACAGACAGTCCTTGCTAAGGGTCTTGGATACCTACCTGCTGCTCTTGTCCAAGTTAATAACTTCTGGTTTATGTATGAATGCTCTGACCTCCAGATCAGCACACTGACATCCCTTGGATGCCACCATCTGGATGTCCTACTGATGCTATGAATACATCGTGTCTCTCCTATAACAACAAAATTATAAAAATGATCTCCATTTTACATCAATTCCCCTTGAGTGTGGATGGAACTTGTGTTGTGAAGACACAGCACTCATGGTATGACAGCCTATCTGTGTGAAAGGGGTGTTTGTAGATGAAATGAAGACCCTTTATAGTTGAGCTGACCCAAGAAGACACTGCCCTGTGTGGATCCGGACTAATCAGGTGCACTCTAAAATAGGTGTATTAGTCAGGAGTGTTTTGAACAGAACTAGAATAACATGTGTTTATCATAGAAAGGAATTTATTGAGTTGACGTACACAAGAGGAGCCGGGTAATTCAACAGTGGCCTTCTACATGCTGGAGAGGCAGAGAACCTGGTTGCTACTCAGTCCAAGATGCTGGATACTGCAGAACAAGAAACACCAAGGATATAGCCTCAATCAAGTGCTGAAGGCCTGGAGCCTCGCTGAAGAGGCTCTGGTACGGACTCCATGATGAAAAGCTGAAGAACCTGGAGTCTGGCCGTGGCAATGGCTATAGAGGAACTCAGTCAGGGAAAAAAAACGGAGCTTGCACACATACATGTGTACAGATACTCATTTCCTCCTCCTCTTAACTCCCTCCCTCAGGACCTGGAGCCCATTGAATAGCACCACACACATTCAGGGCATGTCTTCCCCTCTCCCTCTCACTGCTCCACATCAACCCTCTCTGGAAACTTCCCTACAGATGTGTCTCATCCATTCTAGGTAGCTCAGTCCAGCCAAGTTGACAACCAAAATCCGCCATCACAAGAGGCATGAAGAGAGAGGTCAAAGACACATCCCTGCAGTTCAGAAAGATGCTGTGGATGACTAATAGGACAAGGGATCTTCAGCTGATGAGGGTGGTCACTGGCAAACAACTCTCAAGAAAATGAGGGCATCGATACTATAACAAATAACTTAATTATTTTTTTTCTTATATTCAATGAATTTTTATTCAGCTGTAAAGAAAAAAAATGAAGTTAGGAAGTTTTCAGGTAAATGGATGGAGGTGGAAAACATTATTCTAAGTGATATAAAGCAGATCCAGAAAGACAAACATCACATATTCTCCCTCATATGTGAATCTTATCATGCAATCTTTAGATGTGTATGTTTAGTTTGGAGTACTTGTAGAATCCAGGAAACCAGAATGAGATCATTGGTGGGGAGGGAAAAGGAGGATTTTTTTTTTAATTTATTTTGTTTTTTTTCGAGACAGGGTTTCGCTGTATAGGTTTGCGCCTTTCCTGAAACTCACTCTGTAGCCCAGGCTGGCCTCAAACTCACAGAGATCCACCTGCCTCTGCCTCCCGAGTGCTGGGATTAAAGGCGTATGTCACCACTGCCCGGCTGGGAGGAGGTCTTAAATACAGGCTTACAGCACAATGGGAGAACCCCGGAGGGCAGAAGTTCGCTTCCGATGTTTTACAATTTTGGATCTAAGCTGTTAACACCCATTAAGCAGGACTTAATTCTTTAAAGATCCCATGTAGCACAGATCCTAATCGATGTTAATAATAAAAACCCAGAGCCAGATATTGGAGTAAATGCTGAAAGATCAGTAAAGGAGCCAGCCACTAGAGAGCCTTCTTACCTCTACTAAATCCTCAATCTGAAAGGAGGCAAGATCCTGTCTCCACGAATCCTCAGACTAAATGCAATGAACTCCCATCTTCTCCCACCTTATATTCCTCTATCTGCCCAGCCATATCCCTTCCTGTCTCCACCTTCCTAGTGCTGGGATTAAAGGCATGTGACTCCCAAGTACTGGGATTAAAGGTGTGAGCTGCCACCACCACCTGGCTCTGTTTCTCTTTTAGACTGGATCAATCCCGTGTAGCCCAGGGTGACCTTGAACTCACAGAGACCCACCTGCTTCTGCCTCACGGGTGCTGAGATTAAAGGTGTGTGCCACCATTGCCTGGCCTCTAGGGCTAATTAGTAGCTTAGTTCCACACTCTGATCTTCCGGCAAGCTTTATTTGTTATATCACAAACAGAATATCCCCACAAGCCCACATAGGAGAGGACTCTGCGCTCTGGGTGGGAATCCCACAATGCTCACTTCAACAGTGACTTCAGCACACCCCTGGGGAGTGGATACAGCTTAGCTCTAACTGGACTTCAGAAATACAGACCCTGAGTTTAAAAGTCATGTGGTTTGAAGTCTGAGTTTGTAGCAGTTATGCTACACAGCAGCAGAGGACTAACACAGGCCAGCATCCCATCTGATGCCCAGAAACCTCTACTCCATAGACTCTGAGCCAGGGAGTTTCCTGGACCCTCCACCCAAGCTGAGACAGACACTGACCCTTGAGTCAGCCGCCACACAATCTGTGAGCTCGCCTGTTCCACCTGCAAGGCCTTTGTTTGGGCAATCTTTCAACAATTCCCAAAGAGAGAAGGAGCTTCTAGACTCACCCTCACTTAGTGTCAACAAATGGCTCCTTAGCATTTAGCTAAATGTCCAAACTCCAGCAGCGTCCTGAAAGCTCTTTCAGTTCATCCCACTACAGTTCCTCAAGCTGTGGCTTCGGTGATGCCGACTCTGTCCCATATCCTTCACATGTGTGTAGATGGACATTTCCTCTGACAGCCTGGTCCCAAATAACTGACTCAGCCAACAGCTCAGGCTTATTACTAACTAACTAGCTCTTACAACTTAACCATTTCTATTCATCCATGTGCTGCCCTGAGGCTCAGGCCCTTTACCTCTATCCCATTGTGTGTGTCCGACTCATTCTGACTGGCTGGAGACTCTCCTCACTGCACCCTTTCTTCATCCCATCATTCTCACTTGGGCTTTCCTGCCTAACTTTATCCTGTTCAGCTATTGGCCAGTCAGCTTGTTTATTAAACCAATCACAGCGACAAATCTTCACAGGGTACAAAAGGATTTTCCACAGCACTTGTACCTGTGTGTCTGTATGCTAAACACTCTGTCCGGGGCAGGCATCTCACCTTTCCTCAGCATGCGGATACAGATGTTCCTGTTTTGCAGGTGAGCATGCAGAGATGCCAAGGACAGACAACTTGCTAGAGGACTCATTCGGGTGATTCTGACAGCAGAGTCCGAGCCCTCCCACCACCCACCCAGCAAGCCTGTGGGTGCTGCAACTTATCATCAAAGAGGTGTCGCTCTAACTCCTGCACACCTATGAGAGGATCATGCAACCTGCTCTCTATGGCCGTGTTTACAGACCCCTCTTTCCTTTCCAACACCAGCTCCTGATAGGAGTCTTTGAAGGTTCTGGCCCCATGCAGTCCTTTCCTTGAAAAGGCAGCACCAAGATTTCCTGGTAGCTGTGGACCCAAGGCCTTCATGGGGAGCCTTGTACCAGTTATTATCGATGTTCAAGTGAATACACAGAGTATAAGGTGTAGGTAGGTTGGTTTGTTAGGCTGGAGATGGCAAAAAAAAAAAAAAAAACAACACAAGAACTGAATCATAGAGCCAGGCGGCGGTGGCGCACACCTTTAATCCCAGCACTCAGGAGTCAGAGCCAGGCGGATCTCTGAGTTCAAGTCCAGCCTGGTCTACAGAGCAAGATCCAGGACAGGCACCAAAACTACAGAGAAAACTTGTCTCGGGAGAGGGAGGGGGAGGGAGGGAGGGAGAAAGAAAGAGAGAGAGAGAGAGAGAGAGAGAGAGAGAGAGAGAGAGAGAACTGAATCATATGCACAAGAAAGGTGTTTATTTAATGTTTCACAGTGCCCCTTTTGGGCCAAAAGAAGTAAAGCAAAGCAAAAAGAAAGAGAAAGCAGGGGTAGGAGCCAGTGCTAAGCATGCTTCATGGTAGGGGTGGTGTAGCTGAAGTTTTCTCCAGTCCTGCCCAGCCCCACAGACCCCACAATCGCTTATACAATAATCACTCAGAAGCTCATATTAATTAAACTGCTCGGCCATTAGCTCAGGCCTACCACTGTCTAGCTCTTACACTTAAACTCAGCCCATTTCTATTAATCTATACCTTGCCACGTGGCTCGTGGCTTACCGGTAACTTACACCTTGCTACTCATCGAGGCGGCTGGCAGCATCTCCAGACTCAGCCTTCCACTTCCCCAAATTCTCCTCCCTCTTTGTCCTACCTATACTGCCTGCCTGGCTACTGGCCAATCAGCGTTTTATTTGTCAATCAATCATCCACAGCAGGGTGGCCTTCCTGCTTCTAGCAGGGAGGAAAGGATGGGACTCTAAGGGGGCTGTGGATATCTGAGAAAAGGACTCCCATCCTGGGTCACATGGAAAAGGATGGGTTTCCCATTAGATGTGATGGGCAAGAGGACTGTGCCCTCCTCTGATGTCCAACAGGTGGATGACCAGCTTTGGGGACCAAGGAAAGACATTCTGGATCACAAAGTGAGTTTAGAACTTCAGGGTTCTGGGATGGAATCCAGACTTAAGTCCAGAAACCTCAAGTAGGTGAGATGACCTGGATCTCTGGTCAGAACCTCAGATCTTGCATTGGCAGCAAATGGGGAGAGAGGAGCTGGATTGATAGCATGAAGATCTACAACCTGAAGAGCAGCAAGGCTTGCAGCAGCTGGACTAACAGCAGCTGGCCTCAGCAGCAGGACTTACAACAGCTGAACTGACAACAGCAGGGCTTGCAGCTGCTGGAATTGCAGCCCCCACAGGAGCCACAGCCACCCTTGCAGTCCCCACAGCTGGAGCCACAGCCTCCTGAACAGCCACAGCAGCTCATCGTTCTGGTGATTGGTTGAAGGTAGAGCAGGTCAGAGAAGCAGGTAGAGAGGGAGGTGTGCAGGTGTGGAGACCTCTCCTCCAGGAATCCTTCTCTCTCTATGCCATGGCTGCCCGGAACACATGGCCATTTCCTTGGGTGTGTTTAGGAGCACTGCTGGGAAAACCCCATTTGTCCTCCACCGCAAGAGGCCACAAGTTTGGTTTCCTTGCTCCCCTCCTGTTGTTCTCTAGCCCCCATGTGCTGATCTCTCTGTCCACTGTGGAAACAGAAGCTGCATGTTCAAGTCTGGCCTGTCCTCTCTCATGATTTTCTAGGCTTCCCACAAGACACACATACACATACACATTTTCATGCACACATATGTTTTTATTCTATTCGACTCCCCCATTACCCTCTTCTGTCATCTCCCCATTCCCACTGTTCACCTTCCACTTCCCAATAAGTCCCCCTTCTAATTCCAGTGTGTGTGTGTGTGTGTGTGTGTCCCAGTGAGTTTAATTAAGATTGCTTGCATTGAGCATGTGTGAGAGATTACTTACATGAGCTCTAAGATTATTTTCATTTGAAACACAGACTCTGCTGGAGCTGAAGAGATGGCTCAGCAGTAAGAGCACTGCCAGCTCTCTTAGAGAGTGCTGGTACAATTCCCAGCACTCACATGGCAGCTCACAACCACGTGTAACTCCCGTTTCAGGGGATCTGATGTACTCTTCCGGGGGAGGGCACTGCATGCACTTGGTGCACATACAATGCAGGCTGAACACTCATACATATAAACAAATTTTAAGTAAATCTTTTAAAATGGACTCTTATATTACACTCGACTTGGCTATCTGCCTGCACACACAGTTCTCTAACAATCACTGCTCTATAATGCATCTCAGTGTTCGAATGCATCCAGTTCTTCCATCTGTCCTCCCTCCTACTTCCCTCTTTATTTTCTTCCTTCCTGTGCTCCATTTCCTTCCTTCCCTCCTTTCCTTTTTCCCTCCCTCCCTCTACCCCTCCTTCCCTTTTCTTTTTCCTTCTTCCCTTTTTCCTCCCTCCCTCCCTTCCTTCTTCCCTTTCCATCCTTCCTTCCCTCCCTTCCTCTGTTAGTTTTATATTTGTCTGCTTTACTCATGTGTCCTATTTCTTTTCCTGTTATTGTGATAAAATGCTCTGACAAAGGCCGACTTAAGGAAGAAACAGTTTATTCTGGTTCCCAGCTCCCAGCTACAGTCCATCATGTCGGGAGTGTGGAGACAGCAGCAGCTTGAAGCAGCTGGTCACATGATGTCCACAAACAGGAAGCGGAGAGTGCTGAATTACTGCTGCTGCTCAGCTTCCTCTCTCCAGTTACATAGTCCCAGGCCCCAGCCAGGGTGTGGCACCGCCTTCAGTGGGTAGGTCATTTTATCTCAATTAATGAAATCAAGATAATTAATTCCCAGGCATGCCTAAAGGCTCTCTTCCCAGCTGAGTCCAGAGTCTGTCAAGTGACACTGAACACTAACCATCCTGCAGGAAAACTGTCAAAAATAAATGAGCTTTATAAGAAGTAAACTAAAAAGCAGTCTCCCACCTCAGACTTCAAACATGCTGGCTGGTTTCTTGTGCTATGATAGTAATCTGAATGAGAAATGTCCCCCTAGGCTCACCTACTTGAATGAACACTTGGTTCCTCGTTGGTGGCACTGTTTGGGAAGGGTATGGAACCTTTAGGAGGTGGAGTCTGTTGGAAGAAGCGCATTGCTGCTGGGGGGGATTTGATGGCTTATAGCCTCAGTCCACTTTCTGTTCATGCTTCCTGTGCACGGATGAAACGTTACCAGCCAGCTTCCTGCTTCTGCTGCCGCGCCATGCCTTCCCTGCCATGATAAGCCCAAATAAGTTCTTTTATCTACAAGTTGGTTTTGGTCATGGCATTTCATCACTGCAGCAAGAACAGAACTAATACACCTATTTCGATAGTTTTCTCTTTTAATTCTCTTGAGGGTTGTCTTGACACACCAGTATATATGGGATTTCAACATCAAAAGGTAAGTTTGGGCATTCCTTAAGCCCCCTCCTCTGCTGATCACCACAGTCCTAGGCTTCATCTCAGCATAGTCTCAGGCTGTAGGCTGATCCTACCCAGTTGTTCTGTGGTCCCAGAAGCCTACGTCTTGCAGTCCAGCAGGCTGCAGGTGCTGGCTTTGACATCTCTCCCAGGTGGATGAACTCTATGGGGTTTTCTCCTCTTTCTCTGGGTCCTAGGCCAGCTGTCATCCTGGGAAGTTCCTTGAGAGTGCAAGACTTATGGGCTGCCTCTCTGAACTGCTCAGCAGAGCCCAAGATTTTCCCAAGTTCACCTTGTTCAGATGGCACCCACCATGAGTGTCCTAAGAAAGAAAGGTTGGCAGATACATTCATTGAAGGTCAGTGTACCTGAAAAAAGGCTTAGTTCTGACCAGGAACTTGTTTAGGTCAGAAAATTTTCCCAGAGTGGAAGCCAAATTGCTCTCCCTTCTTCTGTTCTTATTTTCTTCTTTGTTCTTTTCTTCATTCTATTTATTTATTTATTTATTTATTTATTTATTTATCTATCGAGATATAGTCTGCCTGGATGGCCTCAAGTTTACAGAGATCTGCCTGCCTCTGCCTCCTGAGCAGTGAGATTAAAGGCTTGCGCCACCACTCCCAGCCTTCTGGTGTTTCATGTCATTGTTACTGAAGAGCATTCCAATGTGTCCATCCATTTCCTGTGAGGGGTCAGTCCCTCCTTCTCTGGAAACTTCAAGGATCTCTTGAGTAGATCTCTGCTCCGTGATTGCACAGTGCCCTTGCTGGGTTTCTCATTGCCCAACCCCATGACACATGGAGGAAGCATGTGAACCTGGAGACTGTCAGTGCTAGGGACTCCTGAATGACATCTGATGATGTCCTCTTCTCTCCATGCCAACTGTCTCATGTGCTTGGTTCTCCTGGCAATGGATGTAGGTGCTAACTTTCCCCCTCCTCTCCAGTGGTTCCTCCCCACATCTTTCCATTCTCTGAAATCCGGTCTTAGTCTACCTTGCAAATTTTCTGCTGAGTTCTTCATCTACTATTCCATTTTAAATTGCAGAGGATTTCTTTCATTCTTTGTATTTTCCTGGTGTATAGCTCATTATTTTGTAGCTATAATCTAACTGAAATATCGCCTATTCAAAACTCTGTAAGATTTCTATTTTCTCTTCTTAGAATAAAATGAACCCAAATCACTGTTTACCACATGTTCTAGTTTCATTCTGTTGTTGGGATAAAACTCAGATCAAAAGCAACTTAGGGTGGAAAGGGTTTATTTTATTTTATACTCCAGGTCACTGTCCACCTTTGAGGGAAGTCAGACAATTCAAGGCAGAAACCTGGAGACAGGAACCATGGAGGGACACTGCTTGTTGGTTTGGTCACCAACTCACGACCAGCTAGCTTTCTCACACAACTCTGGCTCACCTGTCGAGGGATGGTGCCACCCTCACCAGACTGGCCCCTCCCACATCAATCATCAAAGATAATCTCTTACAGATATGTCCACAGACCAATTTGAATGAGGCAATTCCTCAATTGAAATCTCTATTCCCAGACAACTCTAGATGGTGTCAAGTTAACAATAAAAACCAACCAGGACACCATACTTGGTGGGACAGAGCAAAAATAGTTTTAAAAGAAAAATTTAGAGTTGCCAATGTCTAAATTAGAAAAAAAAAAAAAAAAGGCGATCTTAAATAAACAAGCCAATGATGCATCTCAAGGAATTAGAAAATAAAAAGACAAAGCTGGTAGAAGGGACAAAATAGTAAAGTTCAGAGCTGAAATCAATGTCTAGAAACCAAAAGACTAATACAAAAGTCTCACTGAAACCAAGAGTTGGTTCTTTGAAAAGAAAAGAAAAAAAACATTGAAAAATCCTTAGCTAAACTAACAAAAGAAAGGAGAGCTGGAGGTGTAGTTTAGTAGCAGAATTCTTTCCTAGTATGCGAGGCTTTGGGTGTGATTCCCCATATGGGATTTTAAAACGGCAGAGGGGGCTTGGATAAGAAAAAAAAAAAAAAGATAAGCCGGGCAGTGGTGGCGCACGCCTTTAATCCCAGCACTCAGGAGGCAGAGGCAGGTGAATCTCTGAGAGTTCAAGGCCAGTCTGGTCTCCAAAGCGAGTTCCAGGAAAGGCACAAAGCTACACAGAGAAACCCTGTCCCAAAAAACCAAAAAAAAAAAAAAAGGAAAAGGTAGAGCTGGAGAGATAAATCTGCAGTTAATAGCATTGGCTGCTCTTGCAGAGGACCAAGGTTCTCTTCCCAGCACCTACACGGCAGCTTACAACCATCTGTAACTCAAGTTCTAGAAGACCTGATGCCCTCTTCTGACCTCCATAGGCACATGGTACACAGACATACATGCAGGCCAAACACTCATACACATAAAACTAAATAAGCAAATCTAAAAGAAGATTTAAGAAAAGAGAAAAGGTCTAAATTAAAAAAATTAGAGGTGAAAAGGGTATTTTCAGATGTCACTGAAACCCAAGGGATTATTGGGCTTCAAATTCAATATGTCAATAAATTGGAAACCCTTGAGGAAACTGATAAATTCCTAGACACATATGACCTACCAGAACTAGACTGAGAGGCTATAGAAAGCTTAATCTGATCTAAAATACTCTGTGGTGTTGAGGCAGTAATAGAGTCTTCAACACAGAAAAACCTGGATGAGACTGACTCACTGCTGGTTTCTACTAAACCTTTCCCTAAAATAGAAAGGAAAGGAATGCTTCTAGTCTCAGGCTCTAAAGTCAGTATTATCCTGATACAGATAGTGGATAAAAGTGCATTAACAACGAAAACTGCAGACCGATTTCCCCGATGAGCATAGATGCCTAAACTCTCACCTTCAAACTAAATTCAACAACATGTTTAAAAGATCCTACAGCATAATCAGGCTGATTTCAGGAACTCAATGAAGGTTCAATACTCATAAACCACAATGTAATACAGCAC